TCTGTTCACGAGTGTGTGAACCAAAAATGAGCCTGATCTGACTTGTAAGACGGCGGCCAGAGCCCAAAACGTGAACAAGCCAAATGCTAATAATTTTTACTTTGACCTGACCTGTGACGTCATCGGTGACCTCGAGGTCAATGAAATTAGGTTTCGCTCGACAGTTTTTCCGGGGCTATCAGACACCGTTTGAATTTTGACGATCGGCCCAGTAATTTCGGAGTTAGGAGGGGGGCTATGAATAGCCCCCCCCCCAGTAGGGCGTGTTATACGCAGACCCCAGTGGGGCGCGGGTTAAGCACATGCTCATCAGAATAACTAGTTTGGTCACCAGCTAAAGGGTCATTATGTTACACTACGAACATGTAAATATTGCTTGCTGCTAAAAGTATCTACCATGAACCCACTGCACGTTTATGACCACGACCGATTCATCGGTGTTGCTCATGTCGAACGTTCGATGCACTTCAAGTAAATGGTGGTAAGTCTTCTTGGGTGCAATCGCATCACCATTATCAGTAGCTATTTGGCATATCGGTTGAGGTTTGACCAGGTGGGCATCATCGGGATTCTGAGACAATGGGTTACGCAATCGGCAGTAACGTTAACAATGTATAATATTTTCATGACAAATATGCTTAGCCTATAAGTAAAACGGTAGTAACGATAGATGCAGTGCCGAAGCTGTTAAAATTTCGACTATGTTAAGCGGCAGGTAGGGGTCCTTTTCGAGCAACTTAAATTGTGCATTTTTCTGTATTTCGTATTTTACACCAAATTTCTTTCAAAACTTTTCGAAATTTTTCAAAAAGGTTATTCAGATCATTCACTGTTCAATTCCACATCAGCCTAAGCAAAAATGACGAAAAAATATCAAACGGTTTTCATTTTACAGCGATTTTACTAAACCACTACCTTACTGTCTCAAAGAGCTCCACTGTCTCAAATAGCCCCACTTTACGGTATATAGTTCTTCCTATATGAAAATATAGAAACTATTTTTTTATAAAAGGTTTTATTCTATTTATTTTTATTCTATTTTTATTCTATTTTATTCTATTTTATTCTATCTATTTTACTAAACCACTACCTATACCACTATCTATTTTACTAAACCAGATTTTACTAAACCACTACCTTACTGTCTCAAAGAGCTCCACTGTCTCAAATAGCCCCACTTTACGGTATATAGTTCTTCCTATATGAAAATATAGAAACTATTTTTTTATAAAAGGTTTTATTCTATTTATTTTTATTCTATTTTTATTCTATTTTATTCTATTTTATTCTATCTATTTTCTGCGTTTTTTTTTTAGCGTAAAAGGTCATGTTGCATATCAGTCGATGCGTCTCAACAAGACAAACACAATGAGACCATCCCCAGCGTTCTATCTCTTTCCAATCGCGAGTTATTGGCAAAAATCTGTTTGTAGCCTCAAATGACCTCGGATGACCTTTCTAGAGGCTATCATAAAAAATGGCACCCTGGTCATCACGGGTGGTCCAAATCATTGTGATTCTGAAATATTTGGACTGTTCCTATGCGTACACACGGATCTAGAGGCATTTTCATTTTTCTCCATTGACTTGTAATGGAAAGTTCACCCCAGTGACCTGACCTTAGGTCACGGATATAAAAAAATCCGAGATATACAAATTGTAGGCGCCCATAACAGCATGCAATCCACCAAGTTTAAAACCTTTCTGACAAACACTGCAGGCTGGACATGATTGCAAACTTTTTTAGGCTTGGTCAGTTAACTTGACCTGGTGACCTGACCTGACATGACCTGGGGTCAAAAATTTCACAGATTGTCCAAAATTGATGTACCAAAAGCTACCCCAAGCGGCGCGCGTAGCCCCACTCTGGGGCCAAGGTTAATATCAAACTGCCTTAGAGGATAAAATCCTCTAAGATAAATATTGGCGAAGATTGGTAGACACCCGCTGACGTCATCTTTCAAGGTCACCGATGCAAACAAACGGCTACCTCCTATATACAGTCGGTCTTGACCGGCAGGTCCTTTGAGCCGTGCTTCGAGAATCTCTGCTGATGTTTTGGTGCAGTGGAAGGCATTATTTCAGCAAACGTCGGAAATACGCGCTTATCGACGATTACACTTACTTTTGGCGGATCCCAATGTGCAGTTGACGGCGACCTTTAGACTTCAATCCCCCTCTTTTTTCAGCTCAGGTAACATCTAACGAAAATTCTTACAGATGACTATAAGACTTTGCCTATTTTTTATAGCTGAACTCATGTATCCGGAATGGAAGAATCCCTAGAAAAAAATGGCGATTACTGTTTCTACTGATCTTGAAGTGTGTATAACATTGACCATGTTTCCATGGGCATCACTGATCCGGATCAGTAAAAATGGATTAGCCAATTCAGTATAGTAAGACAATATATGAAAATTAAAATAAGGGATTAACTGATTATGCGTGGGGTTATCGGAAAGTTCCGATCATCACATGATCCTGTAAAGAGTTATTGGCAAAAAACCTTTGGTGAACTTTGATGACGTCATATGACCTTTACAGCTGCCCAACAGCAAAACAGGCCTCAAGGTAGTGAAGGTTGATCGTATATGAAGTCATGTATGGTATATGGGGCCATTCTGACGCGTTTTAGTGGAAAAAACAGGGAGTTGATTTTTCCCCCCATTGACTTATAATATGGTTTAACCCTCGCCCTGGCAGGGCATTTTTCATAACACGGCCTGGCAGGGGGGGGGGTCGATGCGACCCCCCCCCCCCCTCGCGATTGGCTCCTATGACACCTAGAAACACCAAATTTGGTAGGTAGGTGGGCCCCCTGGAGTTCTCGCCCCTGTGCAAATTTGGTTGCTCTAGGTTAATATTTAGGGGGGTTTTGGGGGGTATAAATGTAAAAATTTTGCCAAAAACAGGCCAAAAGTTTTTTCGCTTATAACTTTTGATCTAATTAAGATAGAGAAAAAAGAAAAGCACCAGTGAACTCAGCACGTCAAGGCGCGTCGAATGATACACTTTTAAGCTTGCTTAAGTGTACTTAGAGTTTTTCTTAACTTTTAAGTAAGTAAACTTAAATTAATAAATTAAGTTAAAGTTAACCAAATTGCATCATATCGCATATCATTCGATTCGGCTGATCACCAGGAACACAATGGTACCGTTTTTTAAGCTCTAGCGTCATTATGTGCCAAGTTATTGGCAAAAACGTCATTTGACCTCAGTTGACCTCATTTGACCTGACCCATGGGTAAGTACACCAAACAAAGAAGCACCAAGTGACCTGCTGTTAAGTACCGTGGTTTCAAAGCACAAAAGTGATAGAACGAAGCGGATATCTCCAGTATTTTCCGAATTTAGTATTTTCCCATAGGCTTAACATTACGACGTAATGACCTCTAACTGACCTCAGGTCAGTGACCTCAAAAAAGCCGGACTATATGTTATACAACTCGGTGAACTTAGCACATCCTGAAAGTTTGAAGGAAATCAGTCGAAAACTGTGAGTTGGAGAGGTGCAAAAAGAAAATTGAAATTTGACCATGACCTTGTACCGGTTTTTCTGACCTGGTGACCTGACCCAAGGTCACCCGGACCTGAAATTTTCAGGTCATATGTAAAAAGGTTGCCCCATAGGCTGTGCCAAATTTGGCGGCGCTGCGCGCCGCCATTTTTACGCTATCTTCGAAAAACCTTAGGGGGGGTCGCATCGACCCCCCCTGCCAGGGCGAGGGTTAACTTAAAATATCAAAATTCAGAGATATACAAATTGTAGCTACCAACAACCTAATAACATCCTCAGACTTTCAAAGGACTCAGTCATCTACTGTAGCTCTGACACGGTGACAAAGTTGCAAAAAAGTGACTTGAGGTTGGGTCATTCAAAGTGACCTGGTGACCTGACCTTAAAAGTTAGGAGGTTCAAACTTGCACATTATGCGTAAAATTGATAAGAGAATAGTCATAGCACATTTCGCGGCGCTACGCGCCGCAGTTTTCCCGCTATTCGCGAAAAACCTCAGGGGGGGCGGAAAACCGCCCCCCGTAGGTGCACGGGTTAATAAAAAAGCAAAAGTAGATTTGCAGATGGAAGGGGATGGTCTCCCTTTTTGGCCTCCCGCCGGGCAGCAGCGTTATGTAAAATATCCCAATATCAAAGTCCGGAGGGTGTTAATGTTCCAGCACAACTTCCTGCATTGGTATCTAGATTGCGTAACGCCCTGATCGATTTTGTGTGGTTCGACAGTAGGTATAAGCATATGTGCGCGGTCGGAGCACCAGCCGGAGGGAGGTAACTGGTCCGCTCACCCCAGACAGCGGGCGGCCCGCGCCGGCCAGTCCCTGTCCTCAGGACAGGACAGGCAGGGGCGGCGCCAGGCGCGGTCACCGCAGAGGCGGCTCAAGAGGGGGAGGAAGTGGACACGAACATACAAACACAAAAGATACAGTGCCTCACATCGGTGCACCGACCCACCTGGTAAGACGACTCCTGTGGCGGGTCCCGGTGGTGTATTCATATTGGAGCGGCCGGGCCGCCATCGGCGAACCAGCCGTCTTTGGTGGACCTGGAATAAGAGTGGAAAGGAATAAATATCGATCTCGTACAAAGTTTGCATTTGTCACATTTCATTCATTTCAAATAAAAATAATTGGAGCAGACTTATCTTTTGAGTATAGTTTGAGGCGGAGGTGTGTTGGAGCACTGCAACAATCTCTCTGGGGAGGCAAGCCTGAAACAACAGTACAGAGGAATTAGTGAACACAGAAGAAAATGGAAAAGAAGAATAGGAAATGAAATGAGAACAAAAAAACAATAAAAATTTCAAAGTATTGGTGGATGTGAGCTGATATGCCAGAGTCAGGTCGAAATTAACGCAAGTTCATGTTACATTTGCATTGGTTTCATACCATAGAACTAGTTTGTTATAAACTAGCGTTCTAACTAGTCCGAGTAGTAGAAGTAGAACTAGAACTAGTCCGAACTAGAGCTCGGACAGAAAAAAACACTTATCTTTCGTCCAGGTGTGAGGCCACCGGAGATTCCCAATCAGGCTGGTTCACCAACCCGCGAGCTCCCAGGCGCGCATGAAATAAAAACAATACTGGAATCAGCATACCAAATTCTGCAAATCCTGCCACACACAAAGAGCTAGAGCCTAGTGACAATCAAAAGTGTGTTTATCTAGCTTACTGGGGCTGCTGGGTGCACCGACTGCAATGGCCATATGGCGCCCAGATCTAAAGTGTAAGTTAATTGTGGTTTTAGGGCGCACCAACTGCCGTGGTCTTACGGCGCCCATATCTAGTGTTCTTCGTGTGAATTCAGTTCACTCATAAGTATAGGTGTATGTCATACCTGGGAGAGAGCTGGAGTTCCCGTCGGCCGCAGTCCAGTTTTGACCGGCAGATGGACGTTTCTAGTCTCGGTACCAACGGCGGCGCACGTACTGCCGCACAGAGCTGTGGAAGAAATGACACGATGTTATAAATTGAAGTAAAATAGCCGTCCCACCGCAAGAAAAAGAAACAAAACATGAAGAAAATACTATAATGATTATGTCGACGATTGTTTGATAGAGCGATCGCAAATATGGACTGCAATATGATTTACAAAGTAGTGCCACACCCCTTGTCGCGGACGACGGTGAAAACAGGGCGCCTGGGGCGATTTGATCAAGGTTCGTGAAAATTACACGTGATGTTTGGCATCTAGAAGGCCCACGGAGGGGGAGAAGTTCCAAATGTCACGTGACTAATATGCCCTCCGGCGCCCTGTTTTCACCGGCGTCCCTTGTCGCTGCGTCCCATTCACTATTAGTTTGTTCATTTTAATTCAAAACAAAGGAATGTACCAAAAACTAATTCGCACAAAATAATCGCCGCCATACTGACAAGTACCACAGCCTAAGCCAGATTATGTACAGATTATGAATACATATTTAAATTCCTGTCGCGGTTACGCCGCCACAAAGTGGATTATATCACGGCCCCAGGCGCTCACCGTTCCGAGTCTGTTTGTTGACAGGTCGGTCCGACACCGGACCGGGGGCTCGCTCTCCCGCGGTGGTCGTCCAGCGAACACAGAGGGGTGGCGGCACCGCCCCAGACGGCTGATCAACAACGCAATGCTGAAACGACAGAAGAGGCATCGAGTCACTCACTTGGACATGAAAACACGTTGTGCCACATCAATACAATCCTGTCCATAGATGTCGCTAGCATACAGCGCCTGAAAATATGCTGCGCCGTATGGTTACAATCCCGCTCATAGATGTCGCTAGCGTACGACGCCTGAAGTTATGATGCGCCGCAAAGCCTCCAGCGGCTGGTATAACACAGAGCTTTGGTCGACAATTGGCAGCCTTTTACATGCAGAGTTGGAGAAATATGACGGCGAAAATAAAGAATTGTTAGGTTGTGACAGCTTAAACCTCGCCCGTATAGGGGGAGGGGTCGAACGGACCCCCTCGGTTTTTCGCGAATAATTCGCGTAAAAAGTGGCCGATCGCGACGAAACTTCCAGTACCCTCGAGTTGATTTTACACCTACCCTGAAAATTTTGTGACGCTGACCCGAGTGACCTTTGACCTGTGACCTATTTCTTGGGATCATGTTTGGGCTGGCCATCTATATCAAAATTCTGAGATATACATTTTGTAAATACTATTGCTCTTAGCAATCTCTGAAAGTTTCAAAGCGATCGGTCACTCGGTGTAGCTATGGCAGACGTTGAAACTTTTTATGAGGTGGAACCGCCGTTTTTGAGATATTCGAGAAACACCACAGGGGGAGGAGTGTTCAAGCACCCCCTTCAAGCAGGGCGCGGGTTAAGTAACGGTTGTTAACCCGCGCCCCGCTGGACTATTCAGCCATACGCACCCTGCTGGAGGGGGGGGGCAGATTCTACCCCCCTAACTTCCGAACCGATGGTCGTAGAAAGACGGGGAAAACGGCAATCGAAAGCTCTCAACAAGGCGGATCTTAAGAGCACAAACTTTTTTGCTTAGCTAGGTCAGAGGTCAGGTCAAGGTCAGGTCAAGGGTACAAATGCAAGTTTCTACAGTAGCGGCCTTGCACCGTAGTTGCCGAAGAATGGACTGAGACTGATTGCCCAAGACGTGTTCTTAGGCTACCAAGCCAATATTCGTTGCATACAATATCATGCAAAGGTCAAGGTCAGGTCAGGTCACCAAAAACGAAATATAGAAAAAGGCATGTGCGAGACATGTTTTATGGGTCATTTTAGTCATATAATTCAATTGGCACACTCAATAAGTGATATGGACCACATCTGGATGAATTTCAGGTCGAGGTTAGGTCAAGGTCAGGTCAAGTGAGGTCAAATTTTGAAGTTGTTTAAGGCCTAAAAAGGTGCTTATCTGACGCAGTTTTTCACGGCGAATCGAATGGTGCTATTTTGTTTCCGTACAAGGGCTAGAACTTTATTTAAAAAAAATTGTGTGTCGTGACGTCATACAATTTTGAATAACTCCCACATTTTTGAACCGATTCTTCTAAAAATTGGTATGTAGGTGCACATAGACCACTTCTCTGACATATATTCCGATTTTTTTTCGATACACTCAATATTTTGGATTTTATATTTATTTTCCCAAAAAAATCAGTTTTGAAGAAAAAAAAATTGGGCCAAAATTCAAAAAAAACGAGATAGCCATTTGATACACAAAGTAGAATCACGTATAACCTTTTTGTTACGTCTTGATTCCTTTAAAAATGAAGATGTTAGTGGCGTTTGAAATTTTGCCGTTTTTGAGGCGAAAATGGCGGACACGGGACATGACGTCATTAAAACGTCATTTTCTCACAAAAAAAAAATCCGCCGGATCTCGCTCAAATTTTCTGCCGGATTTCGCTCACATTTACAGCAAACGTCTTAAATTGATGTATGATAAGGTACTGAAAGTTTGACGTCGCTGGCGTAACACGTTTAGAAGTTATTGGCGAAGAACGGGAGGGGGGCAGATTCTGCCCCCCCCCCCCAGCGGGGCGCGGGTTAAGACAGCAGAATTCATAACAAGGGTACACAGACACGCAGTTGATCATATCACGCCCCAGGAACTCACCGTTGCGAGTATGAGAGGTCGGTGTGACATGGGGCCGTCCCGGGGACAGAGGGGTGGCGGCGCCGCCCCTGACGGCTGATCAGACAGGCCGGCACTGAAACGACCGGAGAGGCAGCGAGTCACCCACTGGGGCGTGGTGACTTCGGAAGGCGGCGAAAACAGGGCGACCGGGGCCATCTGATCAAGGCTCTTGAAATTCACTCGCACAACCCGCGTGACATATAGCATGTGGAAGGCATACAGAGGGGGAGAAGTTCTTTAATAGTCACGTGACGCAATAATCAATATGCCCTCCGGCGCCCTGTTTTCACCGGCGTCCGTTAATTCGAGGTGTGGATCAGCTGGAAACAAATATCAATACCGTTACGAAAATTGGGTACGCTCAGCTGTTCCGGACAGTTTCTTGGCTATATTTGTCACCTCGTTAGCCACAAACAATACTTGAAATTATTATTTAAAAACAAAAACAAAGCGCAGTCGCATAGTTTGAGACACGAAAATATGATAACGAAGATATCATAAAAAATATTATAACGAATATAAAAATGCCTTTAAGTTATCAAATCTGATACCCTGTTCATTAATGTCTCCTATTTATTTATCAGCAAATAAATGAACTTGGAATTACTGCATCGTAAGACTTTCATGCAATATTACATCATTCCTTTAGGTACCTACTGGTCCATAATGTACAGCTATTGCGTAATTTGTACCGGTCACAAAATGCTAAATTATTTTCAAAACAGCTCAACATGGTTCACCACACTGCCTCTCAATCAATAAAAAATCTCGGCTTCCTTACCTTTCAAAGACAACAGCGGTATTTCAACTAAAATTCTTCACCACACCGAGTGCCGCCCGCCCTCACCGAGCGCTGGTAGCGAAGAGGTCGCGCGCGCGACGGTCAGCCTCGCTCCGGCCGACCGGCCGCCGCCCGGGGGCACGACAGACGCACGGGCGGCGCCAGGCACCGCGACTGGGGTGGGCGGCAGTGGCAGTCAGAGGCGGCGCCAGGCATGAAATCCGGGGGAGCATGGACGGAGGAGGGGGCGACAGAGAAGTGACGCATGTTCATTCCTTCTCTACTTACTAGCAAAAGGTGTTATTTTATTGTAGAATTATCTAGCACAAAAGATCACAGAGTAGGCATGCCAAGAAGGAAGATAGACGTTTATTACTGATATGAAGCCATATCTGGTAACCTAAGAACTAAAGTGGAGGAAAAAAACGCAATTGGTAACCGTATATGTGTCCAAATATTTTCATCCACTTCATTCTAAGACATTTTCAGAGGTCAGGAAACGTTGACAACACAGAATCTTTCTCTTCTCAGCAGAAATCGCATTAAATTCGAATTTTATACTGCAGCAATGAAATAAATACAATATTGAGTAGGATATGATATCATTTGATTATGCATTTCAGTTATCTTATATCCCGTACTTTTTGTTTTTAGATGTGTAACTCAGAATAACTCTTCCGTCGGGAGTGGAGGCTGTGGGAAATGATGAACAGGCAATAACCAGTCGTGAGTCAGATTTAACCCTCGCCCGTATAGGGGGGGGGGGGGTCGAACGGAACCCCTCGTTTTTCGCTAAAAGCTCGCGTAAAAAGCGGCCCATCGCGACGAAACTTTCAGTACCCTCGCATTGATCAATTCTACATCTACCCTGAAAATTTCATGACCCTGACCCAAATAACCTTTGACCTGTGGCCTCTTTTCCGAGACCATGTTTGGCCGGAATCGCGATTCGGCGTATGTCGGCTCGCATTAGCCGCGCGTTTGCAAGCTTTTCGTGGTTTTCAACGTTCAAACATGTGATTTGATGTTGCTTACATACATAAGTTGGTTTTCAAGGTCCCCTGAAGGTCAGGTCAGGTCATTGACCTTTGATGACCTCGGGTGTCCTCGGTTCACTTTTTCGAGTTTTACATGTTTCTAGGCTAGTTTTTGGAGCTGAATTCGAGTTTAGCAACCATTTGAACATTTACGAAGTAGTTTTGGTGCCTTCGTAACATGTTACGAAGCTGTCAGAGGCGGTTGACACGTATTTCGAATACCCGTCACAACCCCTACCGGTTGACCTGACCTGACCTGACCCGAACTGGTCTAAATGCTTAACCTTCCAGGCGGTGGGGGGGGGGCATTTTTTGCTCCCCTTTAGTTTTTTCGATATATCTCGAGAACCACTGCGCCGATCGTCACCAAACTTTCAGTACCCTCCCGGGAGTAGCTAGCGCACTTGGTGACCAAAAATTTTCCATAGGCTATGATAGGTTGGCCGCTAATGACGTCAGAGTGACGTCATTTCTGCCATTTTCGACCCAAAAAAAAGGTTTCGCGGGAAGAGCTGTCAGGCCTACAGCTTTAGAGATACAGAAAAATGTTTCAGATATAAAAGGTGTGGAATCAAGAGGGCTACAAAACTGCTATTTCGGTTTTCCGAATTTTTTGGATTTTGACCCCCAAAAATCAAAAAATAGGTTTTTTGAATATAATAGCCGAAAAATCCAAAAAGTTTTTGAATTTCGAAAAAACGGAATATATGTAATAGTCCCTACCGCCTTCTATCTACATACCAAATTTGAGATCACCTCTTTTTTGGCCAAGTTATAGGGAAAAACTGTTCAAAATTGATGACGTCAAATTTTCAAACTCAATTTAGTAATTCTGGACCTCGTAGCGCAAAAAAAAATACCACCATTAGACTCCCCGTGACGAGCTGCATCGAATCAATACCCATTTTATGCACAAATATCAACTTTGAAATTTGACCTTTTTTTACCTGACCTTGACATGACCTCCACCAGAAAGTGACCTAAACCGTACCTGATGGTCTTATAACCAACGCCATTGAGTTGGAAATGAAAAACTGGCCATAAAACATGCATCGCACAACCTTAGTAAAGTTGGGTTCATGTGGTGACCCTTGGTGACCTTTGGTGACCTGACCTGTGACCTGACCTGGCATGACCAGTGACCTCTAATAGCAACATATGTACTGGACAGCTGACGCCCTAACGCTGATTTTCGACAAAATGCGTTTTACTCGGTGTTATAGCGCTTTCACTAGAAGCCTCGTGAACGGTGAAACATTTTATCTTTGACCTGACCTGTGACGTCATCGGTGACCCCGAGGTCAATGAAATTTGGTTTCCTTCAACAAATTTGACAGGACTATCGAACGCCGTTTGAATTTTCCGGATCCGTCCAGTAGTTTCGGAGATACGGGGGGGCAATAAAATGCCCCCCCCCCCACCGCGCGGAAGGTGGCCGGGAGGCCCACCGCCTGCCGGGTTAGAGACATCATCTCTGATCAAAACCAACACGATATTCGTGATCAGCACCCCGGAAAACCACATAGCAGCCGCAATGTTCCAGCCGTTCCTACGCCCATGCGGGCCGGGAAGTGTCGGTGAGACCCCTGCTGTTCGGTCCCTGATTAACCCGCGCGGGGCTGGGGGGGTAAATTTTACCCCCCCTCGCGAATTTTTGCGATATCTCAAAAACGGCGGAGCGCAGCGCCGCCAAACTTCCAGTACCTTTTCTTACATCAATTTGACACGTTCCCTGAAAATTTGAGCGAAATCCGTCGGAAAATTTTTGAGAAATTGACGTTTTAGTGACGTCATGTTCGTCATTTTCGCCTCAAAAACGGCAAAAGTTCAAACGCCGCTAACATCTTCATTTTTAAAGGAATCAAGACGTACCAAAAAAGGTTATACGTAATTTTACTTTGTCTATCAAATGGCTATCTCGGTTTTTTGAAAATTTTGGATTTTGGCCTAAATTTTTTTCAAAAAACTGATTTTTTTGGGAAAATCATTATAAAATCCAAAATTTTGAGTCTTTCGAAAAAACCGGAATATATGTCAGAGAAGTGGTCTATGTGCACCTACATACCAAATTTTAGAAGAATCGGTTCAAAAATGTGGGAGTTATTCAAAATTTTATGACGTCACGACACACAAATTTTTTGAAAAATGACTTTTTTGGAAGTTCTAGACCTCGTACGGAAACAAAAATAGCACCATTCGATTTGCCGTGAAAAACTGCATCAGATAGACACCTTTTTAGGCCTTAACAACCAACTTCAAAATTTGACCTCACTTGACCTGACCTTGACCTGACCTCGACCTGAAATTCATCCAGAGGTGGTCCATATCACTTATTGAGTGTGCCTATTGAATTCTATGGGTAAAATGACCCATAAAACATGTGTCGCACATGCCCTTTTCTATATTTTGTTTTTTGGTGACCTGACCTGACCTGACCTGACCTGACCTTGACCTTGACCTCTGAATGATATTGTATGCAACGAATATTGTCTTGGTAGCCTAAGAACACGTTTTGGGCGATCAGTCTCAGTCCATGACTCCATTCTTCGGCAACTACGGTGCAAGGCCGATACTGTAGAAACTTGCAATTTGTACCCTTGACCTGACCTTGACCTTGACCTCAAACTTTAAATTAAGTACATGTTTTTAGTAGTTCGTGATGAGAGCTTTCGATTGGCGTTTGAATTTTCCAAATCGGACCGTTAGTTCGGGAGATAACAGGGGGGGTAAAATTTACCCCCCCCCCCCAGCCCCGCGCGTTCGGCTGGAGACCCCAGCCCCGCGCGGGTTAAAGGTAGTGTGCCACCTTTGAAAGATTTCCCATTTTATTTTTCCTAGGATAAGAAGCTTCTGTTTTTACCTAATATCGCAAAAAAAAAATCAAAAATGGGCCTGGAATAGTGCCTTTTTCGCCTAAAAGTTTATCGGTTTTTCGATATGTATAACAACTGTAGTGGGCTGACCTGCAAATAGGCGTCGGCAACAATCGCGAATGCGGCGCACATGTGACAATAAGCAAAGGTCATTATAGAGTTACGACGTACGGGAATGAGTTATCAGCTGTCTAATCGTAGACAACACAATGTCGAGCCTAAAACTGTAAGCCTGTATTGGTATTGTTTCTTTTATTTGGCTGTCGAACATTATTTATGGTTTGAAATATGATTTTATGTAAAATAATTGATATAAAAAAGCCGTCTCTTAAGTTATGACCCCATTTCACCACACGCAAGTGGCAGAAATGACAATGATCAGCTGACGCATTTTTCTTGGCCGAAGTCAGAGCGCGCGGCCCGACGCACCACCACCGCACCACAAAGTATGAGAAGAAGCCGCGCCCAAAGCCAGGGCCCCGGTAACGTGAGGTAGCCGAGTCGGGGCAGCGTGCGCTGACCCAAGCCGGGGCCGCAGCTTTGGGCGCGGTCTACCGCATCCCCGCGGGCAGCCCCGGACTATCACATGACACCGGGAGGACGCGCGGCCCCGGCTTGGGTCAGCGCACGCTGCCCTGACTCGGCTACCTCACGTTACCGGGACCCTGGCTTTGGGCGCGGTCTACCGCACCACCTAACAGGCGTGTTCGAAACCGCAGGAGATGATGATGAACGGGTTTATCCAAACTTGATTGGATGAGCATATCGGTAATAGCGATTTCAGTGTGTGCATTTATTGTTCATAGTGGTGTGAAATGTGGTTGGGGTACGACCGACAACCCGTCGGGGCGAATTTCGCACTGGGGTACTCAAAATTTGAAGAATTTAAGACGTTTCCATGAGTTTTGAAGGTATGGATAAGTTCTAAAAATCCGGTTCTCCTTACCTGGGCCATTAACTCCATACGGTCCAGAAAAGCTGGCACACTACCTTTAAGCTAGAGCTTCGCGAGAAAAAAAAAACGAGCGTATTGCCCATGGGTCATTCAATGTCAAAACCATCACGAATGTACCCGACCCCTTCGATTTGGATGAAATTTGGTAGGCTCTTAACACCTGTGAAAACAAATACATCCTTCAAGTTTTAGACCTGGGTGCATAGGCGTAGGAACGTTTTCGAAAGTGGGGGGGCCAAGGTCCCAGAGGTCCAAAACCTAACCTACCCCCAAAATCCGATTTCTCCTCGGATTTCGGCCACTTTGTTT